ACAGGATGTCTAAGCAATATGTATACATTTCAAACATTAATTCTTATGACAAATACTCTAAAAATAACCACAGTGTGTTCAAAGCCTACCACATCGCAAATGCTATTAGGAGCAAAATATATATTTGTTAGACTAGTACTTAAAATAACCATGGAATTTATTTATAAAAATTCATTTACCTCAAGCAAAATTCCCTTCTGGCTTCCTCAATTCTCACAGGTACAAATGTGTATTTTGCATGTGGTTTAGCTTACTAGGCAAACAGCAGATAGCCAATTATTATTTGTTGATTAAACACATCTCTGCTAGGCATAACAAGAGTACTCTATTCAGCTTGAGTGGTTAACAGCTAGACTGCTGGCCCACCAAACTACCTACCATTTTCTTAGGGATATGTTTGGTGTCTGTATTATGAAGACTATACAATCTTAAACCTAACACAGAACAGGCATGCATGACTAGGGCAGAGAAAGATAAACGAATATGGCTTTATCCTTCATTTTGTTAAATCTTTACCTTCAGCTCTCCTCTCTTCCTAGAATTTCATTTTCTCATTTCCGTTTGCTTATTAGGCATATCCACACGGACGTCCCGCTATCACTTCATTATCTGGAAAGTGAAACTTTCTTCAAAACTTTTCCCTCTCTGAAAAGTCCCCATTTCCATTAATGGAACTACTATTGTTTTAATAACCCAGAAACCAAATCATGGGGTCATATTTGGATGTGGCAAGTTAGGGTTATTCTCAGCATTTTACTGATTCTTATTTCATAACACCTCCTGTAATCAACTCTTTTTCTCTTCCCTTTGTCACTATAACCCTATGTAAGGAATTCATAACCTTGAACTTGGGCTATAGCAAATTCCTTCATATCTCTCTCTCTCTCTCTTTCTCTCTCTTTCTCTCTCCAGCAAATTCCTTCATCTCTCTCTCTCTCTCGCTCTCTCTCAATCTCCCTATCTATCTATCTATCTATCTATCTATCTCTACCTCTCATCTTCCTTCTCTCCAAGTTAGCCTACTGCTAGGACTTCATAAAACATAACTTTCATCATGTCACTCCTCTCATTATTCACCAAAGCAAGCTCATATCTCTTAAGATCTGAACATCCTATTTAAATCCTATATGCCCTCAAATCTCCATTTTAAATTCCTCCTCAATTAGGCTTTCCTAACCAACTATTCCCAATATGTCATCTCCAGCTTCAGAACTCTTGGTAGCTAATGTCCTCAGAATATAAAATTCTTAAGATCTAATACCACCTTTACTTTTTTGAGTGATCTAAAATTTATCACAGAGGCAGCTAAAAAAAGGTATTTCCTTTACTGGTGTCTAGTGCCACTCAGCCTCAAAAATAAAGTGAGAACCAAAAAAGATGGGTGTAGACCATTATTCCAAAGCACTAATTATCAACTCCAACTCTAAAAGTGAAGTATTTTATAATCTACTAACAATGGAATTTAAGTAAATAATGTGATCAGAATTAGTTTTTTCATGTGTTAAACTTAAATACCTTAAGAGGATTCCAATCAATCAACTGAACTCGGATTAGGGGATTTAAAAGTTTCGGTATGCATAAACCAATGAAAGCTTCATAATAAGAATCAGGAAACTTCTCTCGCCATTGTTGAAATTTCAACAAAATATTCTGGATATTACAGAAATCATCATGCACATCTTCAAAAATCTTCTTGTGATCTTGTAAAATGTCACCTGTGAACAAATGGGTCTTTGTATATTATGCGTTTTAATATTGTGAACTTTGCTTACTATAAATATGGTCATGTATGACCGTGTAATCAATTGAGCTGAACTTTTCCTTTGATTTCATAATATTAACATATAAATTTACATATATTACATATTAACATATAAATTAGTTTTATTAAAAATCACTTTAGTAATAAAAGCAATAATGATCGACACTAATAAAATTTAGCATTTGCTGAGTCCCTGCTATATGTGAAAACATTACAAATACATTATTTCATTTCATCATAATGATCTTCTTTATAAGGTAGGTGTTATTAGCCTATTTACAAACAAAAACTAATATCAGATTTAGAGATTTAGGGAGATTGAGGAATCTGCACAAGATCACACAATATAGAGCCCTCATCAAACCCATCTAACTGTAAAACCCACGACTCTTACAACTACACATATTTTACTATTTCATAATACTAAAATGACTTGACTATATTCAATTATTTTAAATTAAAAATTATAATATAGAAAGTATGTAGTGGAGAAATAAAACCAAAAATGTTCATGGTTCCTTTATAATAGGAGATGAGAAAGGCTGAGGGAAAAAACTATAGATGCAGTAGTATTCAATGCTCTTCCATTTTATCCCATATTTTCAAAGGTGGGAAAAGTCTTAAAGGAGATAAAAATGTATTTCCTTTTTCCTGAATTTTCCCAACTACTTTATATAGTTTATGTATTTTAGGGCAATCACTGCAAAGCATTTCCCACCATTTCAATACTTTAAATCAAGACACATTAGAAACGTGGTGACTGACCTTGGCTTTTTTGGAAGTCAGTCATGTCTGCTGAAGATAGTTCATCATCACTAGATGTCCCTTCCTGATGATCACAATTTCCAGAAAGTGTTCTTGCTTGTCTTCTTCGTGCCCTGTATTTTAAAATAAACCAAAAATCAATTAAAAACAAATAGCTCTTGCTGAAAGTAAATGCTTTAAAACTAAAAGTAGAAGTCATAATTTATTTAAAATGCCCAGAAATACAGCATCGTATTAGCACATAATTTTATGTTAATATGTTTGACATTTTAGCTTCATTAATTTAAATTTCTTATGAGACATTCCCGTAGGCTACCCAGATTTTGAAGATTAGGTTAACAATATAATTAGGACTGGCTTCTACCTAGCAGCAATTCCCAGATTGATAAATGTCATTTTACCCATTACTTTTGATTCATCCAAGTACACCAATGTGTTTTTAAACCCTGAGATTAAAGATTTAAATTTAGTTAAGACTGCTTAACTAAATACTGGTTTTACATCATTCTCACATACTAATTTGTTAGGTTATGGTTAATTATACCATATGGTTAATTGTATTATAGTAGTACAAAATACTTGCTCAATGATGCTTTAAGTCTTCACTTTATATAGCTACCTTCGAGATTCAATCTCTTCTAAAATCCATTGAGTTTTTTCATCTATGGCCAAGTCTCCATTTGTTGATGTCTCAGCTTTGCCTGTTCTCAAAAGAAATAAAGTGAAACACTTTGAAAATGAGTTATATCTTAGGTATGTATGTACATATGTATATATAAATATATATAATATGCTTAAATTCCATATTTCATCATGCAATGTTAATTATCACAATGCTAATAGGCATTGAGTTTGCAAGCATAAGAAAATGTGCCTTGGCTGGGGAATATAGTTTAGCAGCTTCAGAACACTAACAAAATTCTACCATTGTTTCTTTTCTTCATATTCTTTTTTTTAGCAGTTTTCACTAGTTTTTTCTGTCCCTGTATCCAAATGCTAGACATATTTGCATCATCCATGTTATTTATGTTATTTCCTATTTTAGCATGTACTATAATGCATGACCAACTAAATGTCATGTGTTTCTAAGTCATTTTGCTTTTGCTATTATCGACTACTTGTGATGGTCTCATCACTTTCACTGTTCCCTAACAGCACTTTAATCAAAATAAGACATCTCTTAAAATACAAAAGCAGCATGAGAACTAAAAGGTAGCATACAAATCTTATATGAGATCTTACAGATGATTCTATATTGAAATCAACCAGAATTTCTTTAACCTTCATAACCAATCTGTGAAGGGCCATGGAAACTATAAAGTCTATAGATTTATATCAACTCTTCTCAAAACAGTCATTAAATGGCCATATAAATATTTTGTCTCAAATACTAAGAAATTAAGAATTATAATATTTATTTTTTGGTTGTAGACCTAAAACATTTTCAAACCCTAGCTCTAAAGGTTTTGGGAAGGAGATGGATGAAAGGTTAGAGGAAAAATACACAAAAGGCATTTTTTATACAGAAATAAAGATATTTTATTCTCTAGCTGATAATTTAGCTTAATGAATATTAAATCACATTGAACATGAAAAATACTAACGTGATAACTGTTGTAAATACGTTGATTGATGTTTTAATTCATCTTGCCTGCGTTTCATAAGGATCATGGCTTGTTTTAAAAGGAGTGCATGCATGGATGATTCTATTTCTTGGATGTTGATAATCTGAAATACATATATAACATTTTGTGGATCATCAATAACGAATAATAAAATGTAATATTTATGTATTAGCATATGAATATGCTCAATTCTCACATAAAGGAACATTTTCATTATCTATAGCATGCCAATTAAAAAAACACTGTGAGGAACAGACCTAGCTGTCAATACTTTCAATATTAATAAAATTAGAATATCAACTTACTGTACTAGAACAGCTATAAATATAAATAATAAAACTAAATGGACTATAGTCAGGAACACAGATAAGAGTGGATGTATAAGGGTTCTTTGAGACAGAAGAGGAAGAGGAAATGATGGGTGCAGCCAGTCTTAATGGGCTGAGGGGGCAAATTGCAGAGGGGCACTTGAGGAAACTGGTAAAATTATAAAAAGTGGAGAACAGAAGAGACCTAACTTGACAGGTAAGAAAGTTGCAAAATGGAAATGAGTGATCAACTGAAACTGGCATTCTTACATTTCTTGGGTAATTTCTCCAACTCCAATGATATATCCATAGCTGCTGCTATGGATACATCATTGTGTAGGCTGACAAGACTTTAACAGTGCAATTCTTCAAGGATGAAAGAAGAAAGTTACATTGTAGTAAATGCTTCAGAAAGTAACTACCTAGTGGCATTAAAAGACAACTTAAAACAATAGTAAATAAAAACTAATACAGAAAGTAGAATACATTTTTAAAATGATTAAAAGTGGTTTAAAAAGGACAACTTAAGACCTCAATGTAAGGACTTAGCATGCATAAAACAAAAACAGAAACCATAGGAAAAGAATGATTCATACATCTGATTGAGACAAACATTTCAAAACATGTGGATGTCAAAAAACCGCTGCTAACAAAACCAAAAGACAAAACAAACTGGAAAGTTTACCTACATCAAGTAGGGTAAAGCATTAAAAATTTTAAGCAATAAAGAATTGTTCATAATATATGGCAAAAAAAAAAAAAACCTACTGTGAACAGTAACAACAAAAAGCCATGGTAAAGAAGACAATTTATAAGAAAAATTACATGTGTTAATAAAACAGGTTTGAGATCAAAATAAATATATAAAACAAAAACCATTTTTTAATGTACTAAACTAAAAATAAAATATTCAGTCTTTCTGGAGTAGTTTAGCAATGTTTCATAAGACTTAAAAACATTTAGACCTTTTGGCTTAATAATTTATTTTCTAGAAATTTTTCTTAAACAGATAAAATTTTAACACAAAAATTTATATGCTAACGCCTTAACTATCAACATTAAGGGAATACTTAATATCACAGGATATTAAAATGTGTAGGAAAAACACTAGAGGAAAAGTAGTTGTGGGATTTAGTTTTTTTCGTAAATTACATGATAAGGGAATTTCTCCATAAAAAGAAAATGATATGAATATTTACAGCCATGTACCTTTTCATTAAGACAGTCAATTAAATTTTCCACATAAATTTTCATGCTTTTATAGAATTTAAAATTTAGAGTTTGATTTGATGAATTCTCTAGGTTGTGGATTGTACTCTTCGAGCTCTTGACATCTTGTACATATTTTTCATATTCCCTCAGGTGTGAGCGGTGAGTATCCTGCAGTAATGTTAATCTGTATAAAGAAATATAAATAAAAATTGATTTTCAAACTTTTATTTCTACTGTAGTAAGTACTACTCGATGAGATTTTTTCAAAGCTACCTTACATAGACCACCAAGGAAACTGACAATCCCATAAACCTGGGTTTTGATGAGGAAAGGAGAGCATCACAATGAAAGAGGTCTCAAAGGGAAAGGTAGGAAAGGACACTTAGAGGATTTTTGGTGCTCAAGCTAATTATAGAGTGGTTTTAGCCCTTTCCAACCTTTCCTTTTTGCATAAATTCTGAGTAATATGCAATACTAGATGCAACAGCTATAATTCTAGTTCTTTTCTTTCAACTAAAGGAGGAACATCAAAAGGACAGTAAACCATAGTAAAGTTATTACAAAAATAATCTTGAATCAAGGCAATCTCATCATTTAACATCACTATTGAAAAAGAATCATATAAAGGTCCAGATAGTAAACATTTTAGCCTTTGGAGGCTAGATGCCTGCTGTTGCAACTATTTAATTCCGTGTTGTAGCACGAAAGGAGCCATAGACAATCCATAACTGCACAAGCATGGCTGCATTCCAAAAACTTTAATTACAAAAACAGGCAGTGGGTTGGAAGTCTGCCGAGCCCCTAGAATACAGAGATAACCTAATATTTAAAAACCGATACAAATAAAGATTTTCATATATTTATTTCACTATGAAATGCTACAAAATGTCGTTTTCTACATCAAACCATTTAACCGAATGACTATGACCAAGACATTTTGGCTGCAATATGATAAAGGTGTAAAGCTATTTTAAAGCTGAATTATACAAAAGAAACAGGGAAAGAAAATTCTGAACCTATTCTCAGGTATTAGAAAAAACAGGCAATGAAAATGTTCTTTAAAAATACTTGCTTTCATAGGAGAAACAACCTCTCTCCATGTATCAAATGTTATAAGAATTAGACTTTTACCCTCATACTTATTCTTTCATATATCTAAAGATGCACACTAGATCCTGAGCAGTAAAACAGAAAATATATTTAAAACAAAACAATGTATCACCAGGATTGCCTTATTTTTAGCAAAAATACCATTTATATTGAGATTAATACTATTTAAAAGATAATAGCAGTAGATTAAAGGTTAGCTGTATGTCAGAAAGGTAATCTGTATCAAGAGCCATAAATTTATGCTTAACTTTTGCCAAGATCAACTTTCCATGGAAATTTATTTTAAGAAATAATAGAACAAATAAAATGACCTACAAGAACAAAATGTCCATTATCTGTAGCATCATCTATAATAGAGAAAATTTAGAAATCAAAATGGCCAACAGAGAAATCCTTAATTATGATATATTAACTATATGAATATTACTATTATGCTTATTTTTTGTTATAGTTAAGGACACTCAACAAAATTTATAATTTTTACAATTTTAAATATAGTACAGTACTATTAACTATATGTATATTATTATGTAACAGATCTCTAGAACTTTTTCATCTGGTGGAACTGAAACTCTATACCTACTAATCAATAACTGTTAATTGCTGTAATTCTCTTTTCCTTTCTCTCTCATTCCCCTATCCCTGGCAGCCACTATTTTACTTTGTTTCCAAGCACTTGACTACCTTAGATACCTTATATAAGTGTAATCATGTAGTATTTAACTCTTTTTAACTTATTTCACTTAGTCTTCAAGGTTCATCCATGTTATAGCATAAAACAAAATTTCCTTTTTTTAAGGCTGATAAAATTCCACTGTATGTAAATATCACATTTTCTTTATCCATGCAACTGTTGAACACTTAGGTTACTTCCATCTCTAAGCTACTGCAACTAACAGCTATAATAAACAGGTGTGCAAACATTTCTTCAATTATTTTCGATTCTTTTGGCTGTATGTCTAAAAGTGGGATTGCTGGATTATACAGTAATTCTATTTTTAATTTTGAGAACTCTCCAGACTGTTTTCCATAGCAGCTGTACCATTTTACATTACTACCAAGTGTATAATGAGTTCCCTTTTCTCTACAATTTTTTTTTTTTCACAGCAGTCATCCTAACAGATATGAGGTGATATCTCGCTGCAGTTTTATAATCATTTTCCTAATGATTAGCGACGTTGAGCATCTGTTCATGTTTCTTGGCCACTTGTAGGTCTTCTTTGAGAATTATCCATTCAAGTCCTTTGCCCATTTTTCCATTGGATTGTTTTGTTGTTGAGTTGTATGATTTTTAAAATATATTTTGTATGTTAACACTTATCAGATAAATGGTTTACAAATATTTTCTACCAATTCAGAAGTTGCCTTTTTATTCTGTTGATTGCTTCCTTTGAGGGGCAGAAGCTTTTTAGTTTATAGTCCCACTTGCTTGTTTTTGCATTTGTGT